GTCCGCACCCGTCTTTAAAATAAAGCAAAGAAACGCGCCATTCACTCTATATGCCCAACAACCATAAAGGAATTATAGATTCAAGTATAATACTACTTTTAAGATATTTTGAGGCTATTCCCAATGCTCATCTATGGGCTCCAGGCCAACCTATGACCCCGTTTACCAATTTTACATACTGTCATGTGACCCACGTGTGTGTTACATAATGTAACCTCCAGGGTCCACGGGTATCCCGAGGTCTCTTGGCGTATTCATTGTATTCATATGGGTCTACTTAGAGTGTCAAGTCCACAATAACAGCACGGTGATCCGAGCACAAAACACCATCGTCGAACCGATTTCCTAGCACTGCATAGCCAATGACTGCCAACCTCTGGCCGTGAGTCCCTGCAGGTCTCACCAGAACATAGTCAATACGCGAGGCTGGCTCATCCTCGTACCCAAATCCAGTCCAAGTAATGTGGTTACCATATCGCCTCGAGCTATCAACTTCCTTATATGCATCACGCAAGCTTTTCGTTCTCGTCAACTCTTGGTAAGCTTCCTGGTTCTCTTCGCTGTTGAAATCGCCGGCCAAGAAAGTGCCCGAGATGAGCTTTGCGAATTTGTTCTGGCTGTATTCGGAAATCTTCCCGATAATGATACGTGCAGCCTCGAGACGAGACTGAGATCCCTGATCATCAAGGTGGGTGTTCATGACAAGGATTGTTTTCCGACTAGCTCGATGAGTGAAGACACCAATGGTAACAATGCGGATGGAGGCTGCATCCCAACTCTTGGATGGCGTTTCGGGTGTCTTGGATAGCCACACTGTCTCCCAATGTAACAGCTCCCAGACCGATGGTCTGTAGATGATGGGGGAGTATTCCCCAGCCTCATGACCATCATCTCTACCAACACCGATATACCCCCATTCTGGTGCTTCGGGCTTTCCATCCTGATTCAATCCAGCCAGAATATCACCAAGTTGATTATGGAGAACTTCTTGTAGGCAGACGAAGGTTTCTTTGCAATGACGAGTCTCATATTCAAATTCATTCAACAGCAATTGTTTGCGATCAGTCCAGGGTTGTTCGCCTTTGAAGGGGGATGAGGTTGCATAACGAATATTGTGTGTCAAAACCCGGATGGGAAGTTTTGTAGGACTCATAGCGTGGAATAGAAAATAAGGATCAAAACTACCAGTACTGGTATAAGTTACATCCATCGATATCAGGTTTACAACGAGTGAGGGGAATGTTGCAATGCCTGTTACCACTATGCCTGAGGCAGTACACAAGTCCTAACTAGATGTGACACCTACATAGGTACATATGTTGTACCGATGTAGGGTGGTTATGCCTAGTTACAACATGTACCTATATTACGGAGTATTTTTTATCTAATCAAAGCTGTATGCAGGCACTGTACTTTTCACGGGCCACAACGCTGTAGGATGAGAAGAAGGCATCGAAAAAGGGATCAATAGACGCATCGAAAACATAAAGTCTTTAAGATAAAGACTTTATGTTTCATCTTGAGCCAACTATGTATCTCTCTGCCATCCTACTGATATGGGCTGGGTTCATATATTCGAGTCGTTGGTGGTTGAAAATATATATAATGTGTCGACTATATCCATACAGTTAATTGCATATTCGCTTCAATTTGCACTGGAATCAATGTCTATATCGGGATTTATTCCAAATTCTTCAATCACCTTCGGATAGCAAGGATCGTAAACTTCGAATGATGAAAGGCCCGGTTACATCGACGTACTTCCCAGGAATGTATAAGAGGGGAAACACTGGTCAGGTGAGGAGAAGTGACGGAGTAGACTAGAGGTCTGAGCGATCCTGGATTTGTGGCGGAATCCGGGGTATCAAGAGGAGACATTTACGGTCTATATAGCAAAATCAACATTAAAGTCAGCTAGGTATAATATAGAATAATATAGAAAACATGTTCGTAGCTCAGTATGAAGTCAAGGGAGAGATTGCCATGACGTCTTCGGCAAAGCCCTAGGTGACAGGCCTGAAATATCAGGCGATCACAACCCAACCCCACCAACGCTAAACGCCCTCTCGACGCTTTGCACACGACTCGATCTCGATCCATTCCTCTCTTCTAGCTTCACACGGATTTACAATCCGAACAATTTTCTTGAAATCACTTGCATTTATTTGTTTCTTACAGCTCCACGAGCTCAATTCACTTCACAATGGCGGAAGACAAAGCACCCGAGGTTGGTATGTAAACTTCATGGAAAGCTCTGACGTTTGTGGGCACCGAGTCCAAGATGGGCCATGAGCTCGCTGGCACTCACCACAACCAAGAAAATATGTTCGGTTCATAGACCATCACTAATTATGCGATTCTTTCTAGATTACACCCTCAACAACCCCGATACCTTGACCAAGTACAAGACCGCTGCGCAAATTTCTCACAACGTCCTTGACGCTGTTGCCGGTTCGTTGCGCAAGAACTTCTCATTGTCTCACTTTGATCTAACATCTACTTAGCTCTTTGCGTGGAGGGAGAGAAGATCGTCGAGATCTGTCAGAAGGGTGACAAGGTCCTCGACGAGGAGATCAACAAGGTCTACAAGGGCAAGAAGATTGTCAAGGGTTGGTCTCACCCCCCTCTCTACCCGTTAGTGGCAGAAGAACCACATGAACTGATCGTAACGTGTAAATTAAGGTATCTCTCACCCAACTACTGTCTCTCCTAGCTCCTATGTGACTCCCTACACTCCTCTGGTGTCCGACGCCGCCGAGGCTGAGATCACCCTGAAGGCCGGCGAGCTCGTCAAGATCCAGCTTGGTGCTCAGATCGATGGATTCGGAACCATCGTTTGCGACATGGTGGTCGTTCCCAAGAAGGACGCCCCCAAGGAGGTTGTTACCGGCCGTGAGGCTGACCTCATTATCGCTACCCACTACGCCAACGAGGTCCTCCTGCGCCTGATGGTTCCCCAGGGTCTGTTGGCTCAGGGTACCGATGAGGAGAAGAAGAAGGCCGCGGCCCAGAAGGCCCCTACTCAGGCCTACATGTCTTCTCTGCTCGAGAAGATTGCCAAGACTTACGACTGCACTGTCGTCGAGAACACCACCAGCTGGATGTTTGGCCGCAACGAGATTGAGGGCGAGAAGAAGATCATTCTCTCCCCCGGTAACGGTGTCCGCGGTGACGGTGTCCCCGAGGTCGGCGAAGTTTGGGGTGTTGAGGTTGGCCTCAGTCTGGGATCCGGCAAGGTCAAGAACTTCGACCACCGTGCTACCCTGCACCGCCGTACCACCACCACTTACGGCCTGAAGCGCCCCAGCTCCCGCCAGACTCTGTCTGAGGTTGTCAAGAAGTTCGGTACTTTCCCCTTCAGCTTGCGCCAGCTTGATGATGAGAAGGCCGCCAAGGTCGGTGTTGTTGAGTGTGTTCGTGGCGGTGTCCTGCGCCAGTACGAACCCGCCGGCGAGACTGACGGTTCCCCCGTCTCTCGTCTGCTGACCACCATTGGTACGTACCATTAAATTTGCATGGAGATGATTTGGTCCCATAAGCTAACCCCACCCACAGCCATTACCAAGAACGGTCTCACCAAGCTCGCTGCTGCCAAGCCCGTCGATGTCGAGCAGATCAAGTCTGACAAGAAGCTCGAGGATGAGGAGATCCTCAAGATTCTCGAGCAGCCCCTTGCCCGCTCTACTGGTAACAAGAAGAACAAGAGCAAGAAGAAGACCAAGACCACCGGCGGTGAAGAGTAAATATGAGTCAATGCTCTCAACAAACTTCCCCTGGTCATCATTTTCATGCAATACACTTTGATATAGTGTGGGACTATTTGTCCAATCTGAATGCAAAACAGATATCCAATGACGAGCCTCACTGCAGGTCATACGAAATCTATCCAAAAACAAAAGAGAAACACTTGATTTTTCCAATGACATGCGACAGGGCTGGCAATGCCAACCCATTTTTGGAAACCTCGGTATATACTTTATCGACGAGCTGAGAGCTGGGAGATCTTCTTGTGCTTTTCCCTGGAGGCCTGTCTGTCTTGTATGTAGCAATTGGAGCAGACTCCACGGACCAAATCAAGACGTTGCCAGTCTGTACTAAGGTGTATTGTAAATCTACATGGAGACGTTCTATTGAGACAGTGGCCATTGTAGTCCTCTATCACTTTCGTATATGCTCGTCCGTGTCCAATCCCAACCTGTAAATTGTTCGAGACAGCTTGTTGCTCGAGGGGAATATCGAAACCAGACTACTCGATAAAAGGACAATGTTCAAATATCCGTAGGCAAGTAATCCGTGGCCTTCTTTCGGAGTATGCAATAGTAGAACACTATCCTAAGCTATCTACGTGATGTTTGTCTAGTGCTGGTAATCACAGGGAACCAGACTGTCGCAACTTGCTGACATGTGTAGAGTCTCGGTGCAGCAATATGATCAGGATCTCTGTCTCATTCTTGTTGACTGCTGAATCCCCAGACACACAATGGAGCAACTGCTTTGGGGATATCTGGGGAGTATATCCTATCCTACAACCATTTCCCCGTGAGACCTGCGTACAATAACCAATTCATACCCGTCTCTTGGTCAATCCAGAGTCTGTCTACTTGCATGTGTGCCTAATGGATTGTCTACACAGCCAGATTAGGTATAATGGAGCTAAGGCTGAGCAGCCATTGAAGTTTTATACACAGGCAGACTCGTATTCTTAAAGGATCAATAGATGAATAGGTCAATATAAAAGCTATTGTTCTCTGTAGGTATCCTCAAAGGAGACACCCTGGTAGCACGTGTCGATGTCAATACGGGACATGTCACCTGGACTACTGCCTGTTCTATTGTGCGCGTTTGCACTCCTATTGGAGAAAAACAGCCTTGACCTAAAAGGGAAGGCCCCCCCCAGTCTCGCAGAGTATTTATATCCCTCCCACCCCCCATCCTCTTCTTCTTCTTTTCTTCTCTCTTCTTCCCCACGTTCAATCCATTTCGTTACCCTAGTGTTAAAAATGGATACCGTGCGTGCTGCTGGCGCTGCTGTGCGCCGCGTCTCAAAGCGTCTTCTCAACAAGAAGAGTAAGTATTCATCCTCTGTCTATCCCAGTCCCCTCCCCTGGTATCCAGTCACATCTGTGACGCGGATGTCGCGGTCTCTCAGTTCAAGCTGGAAGATCACCCCCATGCCATGCTCCTCTATATCATACTTCCCCAGTCTCCTGTCCCCAGTCTCATGCCCCCATGTCCCCATGTTCCCAGTTTCATGTCCCCAGTCTCATGTCCCCAGTCTCATGTCCCCAGTCTCATGTCCCCAGTCTCATGTCCCCAGTCTCCTGTCCCCAGTCTCATGTCCCCAGTCTCCTGTCCCCAGTCTCATGCCCCCATGTCCCCATGTTCCCAGTTTCATGTCCCCAGTCTCATGTCCCCAGTCTCATGTCCCCAGTCTCATGTCCCCAGTCTCATGTCCCCAGTCTCCTGTCCCCATGTCCCCAGTCTCCTGTCCCCATGTCCCCAGTCTCCTGTCCCCATGTCCCCAGTCTCATGTCCCCATGTCCCCAGTCTCATGTCCCTTGTCCCCTCTCTCACACCCCTCCTCATGTTGTGACTGAGGTGCAACACCTCACCTGCCTCTTGACCTTGCACATTTCTCAGGCAAAGATGAGTTGGCCTTTCCATGCTACTTCTCTCATGTCATGAATTGCCTTGTCATTGGTCCAGTCACTTCTGAGACGGGATGTGCTCTGTCATTTGGTTCACTGAGCCCTGAGTGGATGAGACGACATACTCCCCTCCCCCCAGATTCACTCACTTATTTATTGAACCACCACTTCCTTTTTCTCTCACTTTCATATGAATGATTCTTTCTCCGTCTATCTCACAGATCTGCTCATTGATCACTTCCGAGATGGGTGAGAAGGAGATATTGCATCCTTCAGGTGAAAATGGGAGATTTACCCCACACTGTTTTCTCACTCACTTCCGAGATGGGAACAAACACTAACTTTTTTTTTCAAATAGCCGAAGCTGAGAAAGCTGCCAAGGAGCAGCAAGATGCTGCAGCAGCTGCAGCTGCTACAGAGTACGTTGACACCAAGAAGTTAGGGCATGGAGCGCGTGGCACTAACCTTACCAGGCCCCTTCCGCCTGCCCCTACGGGGTCCACTCAGTCCGAACGCAAACCCGCGCAACGACGGAAGCTTCAGAAGAAGCCCCCGGGCCCTTCGAAGCCCACCCCCCAGTATCGGACAATGAGAGCGCTCGGGGATTACCCATCGACTGCGGAGTACCGAGCTGCTGGTGTGACTCCTCCATCTGAACGGGCCGACCCCGTCGCGACCGTGCCGACCAACATCCCGCGCGACGAAACTGAGCGCCTTTCCCCCCTTGGCGGGTTTGAGAACCTGGCGGCCGATAAGAGTCAGGTTGAGGCCTTTGAGTCGGAGGCATTTGCCTCGATCTCCAGCGGAAGCCAAAGCCTGGCCGATGAGGCCATTCGCACCATTACCACCCCGGCCGATGCGGCCACTCCTACCCTCCCGAGCGCGGACGATACCAACAAGTACGTCACGGCGCTGATGTCTCTTCCTTTGCACCCTTCCGACAAATATGATGTTGCCAAACTCCGGAACCTCATTAAGCATGCCATAATCCACGCAACTGAGAACGGCAACGAGCCAGGTGCCACGGCCCTTCTTTACTTCTGGTCCAATGCTGTGGATGATGAATTCCAACTCTCTTTGGTCGCCAACATCGCCAAACTCGATGAGGCAGACGAGAAAATGCGACTTGCGCTCCAATCAATGATCAACAATTCTATTAAAGATGCCCAGAAGTGGTATCAGAAATACGTTCGCGCTACATCCAATGCCTGCATTATTCCCCCCGCAGCGAATCAAGCCTCCCACCTGCCAATTCTGTTGATGCAGAGCCCAGCTTCAAGATCTCCGATATCTATCGCGACACAAGTGGTCCTCGTGTTGAAGAAAACTTCCTGAGTGGTAAATCGAACACCGCTCCGCTGAAAAGACCCAAGAAGCCATGCCCGGTCAACGAGAATGCTTACAGACGTAAACGCAAGTTGGAGATGGACCCTGATCACGAAGAAAATATGCGATCCGTACGTGCTCGTCTTGAAAAAGAATCTTTCGTCGACATCGCAGTCCGGTACAGCAACATTCGTACTCCAATTGGCCCACCAGACGGCATGCAACATCCTTACAACAAAGACAACATTGACACAGGAATCGAAGGGGATATTGCAGCGATCAATGAAGTGATGCATCGTACACGTCACCTCCCTCCCCCAGGTCCTATCCTTCCCCCCCAAGTGATCCCCTTCCCCCAAGTGATCTCCCTCCCACAGGTTCTATCCTCGATCTACCTCTTGTCAAGGGTCCGGAGCCCGAGGCTCCATCTGTTTATTCACCATCTGCTTCGCTTATCGGTCGCAAGACTGGCAAGCCCGTCTCACGACGTCAGAAAGACAAGGCCAAGGCCCCTGAGATCCCACAGCGCGCACGGTCGCTCTCTGTTGACACCACGGTCTCAAGTCTTTCTTCGCTCTCAAATTCTGCTTACTCAGTTCGATTCAACGACTGGACTGGCGATCACGAAGCACGCCAGATGCCGAATTCTATGTATGTTATTTCTTGCCCTGACTTGACCAGCCCTAGCTAACATGACACCTCACAGTGCACCCCCCGACAACAGCGATGATTGCCACCAGTGTGGAAAAGGTGGCGATCTACTCTGCTGCGACACATGCGTCAACTCATACCACTTCGAATGCTTGGATCCTCCCTTGGATCCCAAGAATCCTCCGCAGGGAGAGTGGCATTGCCCCAAGTGCTCTATTCGCAACAGTTTCTCTACCTTGATCGCACACTCCAAACACCAAAAGAAGACAGAGTTCCAACTTCCTCGGGATGTCAAGGAACATTTCGAAGGAGTTGATGAAGGAGTTGTGTTTGATGAGGACTATGCCCGGAATTTGAAGCATCAACGCTACTACAAGGCCGCGCCCCACCTGCCGCGGCTGACTAAAGCACCCAAGCAGGACGCCGCTATCGTTTACGCGAATCCCATGCTTCTCCGAGAATACGACAACAAGGGAGACTGCATCCGTTGCTCCAAGTGTGGTTTTACATCCCAAGGTACACGTCCCATTATTACTTGCGACTACTGTCCCTGCCGCTTCCATCTGGATTGTCTTGATCCTCCCCGCGCACATCCCCCTAACCCCAAGATCGGGTGGATGTGTCCTAACCATGTCACTCCTGACGATATGATTGCCACCAAGGAGATTAATGGCAGCAACGAGCGTACGCGCCGTGTTCGCCGAACCAAAAACATGGCCTACATTGACTGTGACATCATGCTTCCTGACGACCCAAATCAAACTCTGTTCGACGAGGACTGGCGAGAGAAGAGAGCCCGTTTCCTCGGAGGCGATGTCGTTCTGAACTTCATCTCCGCTGTCAAAAATGATCATCACGAGCGTGAAAATGAGTATGCCCGAGATGTCGAGCGAAAGTGCTTGAATTTGACCAAGCAACTCACCAATGAATACCTCAACCGTGCTGAAACCACCGGGATGACCAACAACATTACACAGAACGGTCTTCCCGCGGAGTTCACCCAGAATGTTTCTTCCGCTGTTAACAGCATGATTGCGGGCGCTCCTGTCTCCACTCATGAATTCGACGCTGCCGCTGCCCTCCTCAGCATGGCTACCAGCCAGCCTCCCCTTGCTGTCGGCGAAGGTCACATCGCCGAAGCCGCCGCGCCTACCTCGCCCGTTGCTCAGAAGACCTTGTCCCGCATCGATGAGGAGTCCGTCTTGGGCTCATCTCACGCTGCGACCTCCCGTGTTCCTGCTCCCGTCACCTCCCACCCCTCTCCCAAGGCATCCCCCGATGCCCATGATGAGGAGTCCCACCACGCGGGCTCCGAACTTCTCCCGCGGATCCCTGTGATCAATCGGAACAAGCGATCCCGCGCCGATGACCAGGGATCCGCGGGAGAACCGGCGCAGAAGCGCCAATTCACCAAGTCCAAGTGAGGGGAGCCACCAGGCTCCCTCAATTCAAAGCGCGCATAAGGACCCGGCGTTTTGAATTGTGGATTTGAATTTTTTTTTGTTTTTTAAATTTTTTTTATTTTCAATTTTCGCGATCGCCGGGATGGCGATCGTCCAATCTTCTTGAATCTGTTTCTCTGGGCTGCCCGGCCACGCCTTTGTTTTTCTTTCAATGTTGTTTTTATCTTGCTTTGCTTTTTTTTCCGCTTTTTTTTTTTTGTTTCTCAAAAAAAAAAAGATGCGATGCGCGTGGTCGGGCAGCTCAGAGAAAGTGTACGATAGCATGGGCCAAAGGCCAAATGAATATTTGTCATTTCACTTTTCTCTTACTTGTAGATCTAATTACTCTCAGAGAGTTTTCATCAACGTGATAATATATTCGTACTCTACATAACTTCCTCTGGAAGAATAGATCCCGGTGACTCGACTCCGGGCAGAGCACACCAGTAAATATTATGAATATAACCCCCATCACACACAATAAATCAAGATGACAACGACGTGGACTCTAGAGGACAACAGGTAGGGGGGAAAGGAAGGGAGAGAACGGGGACGCTTAAAGGAACTTCTTAGGCATGTTGGCCCGGCGACGCTTGTAGATGACGTAGGAGATCACGAGGATCACCTGGAACGCGATCAACATGAAGATGAAGAAGCCCATGCGCGGGCTAGAGGCAGTAATGACTATACGATGGGAGAAAATCAATTAGCAAATTGAATGGATGAGTCATCTGGGCAAAGCAAGGGGGCTTACCACTAAGCAGGTGGCCCTGCAGGTTCTCGCTTAGGCTGAGGTGGGAGGAGCGCAGCGTTTCGTGGAGCTGGTTGAACCGTCCACTGTAATCCTTGCTCTGCACATCGGTCTGGAGGACTTGGAGCAGCTGCTCAACGCGCGAGAGTCGGCTGTCGAACTGGGCGAGTTGGCGGTCCTGGGCCAGCGACTTCTGGATAAGTTCTGCGTGGCGCTGGTCGGCCTTCGGGGCCTGGTTCATCAGTTCCTGGAGGATGGTGTTGGTGGCCTTGCCGGTCAGCTGAATGCGGCCGCTGATGTCGGCGATCTGGGCAGCCAAGCCGTTCATCGTGGCTTCTGTGCCAGTGTTGGTTACGGGTTGGGCGGGCTGGTTAGGAACTTGATTGCGGATTGGCTGCTGGGGCGTGCTGCCTTGGTTGGGGGGATTGTCGAGCCTTGGCTTGTGATGGACTCGAGGATGAACTTGAAGACCTCGAATGAGTCTGGGTTTTCGGGAGTGGCTGCTGTGATGCCGAAGGTGTTTCCAGCGGGCAGAGCGACCTGCTCAGGTTAGTATGTTTAAGATGGCTGCAGCACAATGTCGGCAGGGTAGTGTATACATACCTTGTTGGTCGAAAAGCAAAGCTTGTCGTCAATGGTGACTTCAAAGATGGAGCTGGTATGTTTGAGCTTGACAATTGATGGACGGCCTAAGTTACGGTAGGAGTAGTCGCAGTGGCCAAAGGCTAAGGTATCGGGACTGTTATGGCTTTTGTAATCGATGGTACCGTCATTCAGGAATCCACGGACACTTCCACCCTATGGAAGAGGTTAGTAACAGTAATGATCAATACGCCACAATAATACGCGACAGGGTCAATACGTACTCTTCCACCATGCGTATCAATTACCAAAGCAAAGCCGTCGAACTGGCCGACAGTATAGATGCTCGAGGTACCAATACGGGACTGGCCATCCTTGGTGTACCATAACTGTAGAATTCCGCCCGCTCGTTCAGGTCCACTCGCTCGGAATTGGAACTCTGCTGACCATTCCGACTGAGAAACTCTATATTCATGTTATTATCCGGTGTCCCATATGACGGTTTGAAGCCCTTCACTTACGGGCTTTGTGCCCAAGCTGATCCCCGAGTGTTTCCAGGGTACGGTGGTGTTAAGATGAGCTTGTCTGATAGCTAAATGGCTGTTAGCTCAGTTCGGCCATAATTCCAGCAGACCGACTCACAACTTGCGGTATATGGCCCTCTGCTCCAATTGTCCATCCGGGGATAGAGTCTCGGGTTGGTGATATCCTAGTCCGAAGTCAGATAGCCGTAACCCAAAGACTGTCCACGGATACTGTACTGACGTTTGACCAGCACCAAAGCTTGAGCTATCAATAAGCTGGGCTGTAGCCCCTACAGCAAGCAATGCCAGTGAAGCTAATGTTCTCATCATGTTGTGTGGCTTGACGTTTGGTGGAGCTTGATGTTTTGATGTAGGATTCGCGCAGGTTACACGAAAGTTTTGCGCAGCAGCTATCGTTCGCTATGGACTGAGTCACGTTCAAACTTCCGATTGCAAATGCTAGAGACAACACTAGTGGTGACCCAACCGACAACAATAGCAATAACGCAGAGACGGGCCTCTTTTGCAATAACAGCGGCCGATGGCGAGAAATCGATAAAGTGATGGAGCTGTACACTGTTGAGAATCGTGTGGCGGATTCCGACGTCTGTGAAGTCCATACAGAGAGTGTGTTCCCTTTGACGTTGTACTTGTTGTATTGACTATCTGTCCTTCTGCCCAGGTGTTTCGCTCCTGATTTGACCTCCGATCTCCGCATCTGGTCACGTGTCATTCAAAATAACATGCGGAGGAAGCTACTCCCTCCGCCAATTTGCACATTCTCGCGCCTTGTGTCTTCTCGGCTTCAACATCGCCGCACCATCATGCGTAGGAGCTCCAATGGCTGACCTATACCCTTCATTGGCGCAGTGCGCCATCGTTGCAGCTGCCTTCAAGGTGCTGCTTTTCCCCGCATAGTAAGTCCCGCTCGTTTCGTCGCAGCAAAAAAAAAAAAAAAAAGATCGGGAAGAAATGTGGAAAAATATGGGAAAATCACTGTAAACTGCTGCAGAATACTGGAAAGGGAATTCCAGAGGACCCCGGAACAGGACACTGGTATTACCAAATGAGTTTGCTAACATGCTGTTCTTTGTGTTGCAGCAAATCTACTGATTTCGAGGTCCATCGCAATTGGCTCGCCATCACCCATTCTCTTCCCATCCAAGAATGGTACTATGAGGTATGTTCAGGTCGGGCGCATGATTCTTGGGCAATTATTTTGGATATTGACTTGAGCTGTTTTAGAAAACCTCGGAATGGACGCTCGATTACCCACCGTTCTTTGCAGCTTTCGAGTGGCTAATGTCGCAGGCTGCTGCATACGCAGACCCTGCAATGTTAGTCGTGAAGAACCTTGGTTATGATTCCTGGCCGACTGTATGCTTCCAAAGAGCAACTGTGATCTTGACGGAGCTGGTTCTTGTCTATGCGCTTAGTCGGTATGGCACTCGGTCTTTTTTTGGTGATGCAATGGAATTCTGACAGCTATTCGATAGATTCGTCAAATCCGTTCCTTTCCCGAACAAGCAGGCTGCGCATGTAGCCAGTCTTTCCATCCTACTATCCCCCGGTCTTCTCATCATCGATCACATTCATTTCCAATACAATGGCTTCATGTATGGAATCCTGATCCTATCAATCGTCCTCGCTCGCAAGCAATCGACTCTTCTCTATAGCGGTATCCTCTTTGCGGTACTGCTATGCATGAAGCACATATACCTCTACCTCGCTCTCGCCTACTTCGTCTACCTACTGCGCACCTATTGCCTTAGTCTCAAATCGGTCTTCCGGCCCCGATTCGGTAATATCTTCAAACTTGGATTCTGCGTGGTGGGCGTTTTTGCAATTGCCTTTGGACCATTTGCGCAATGGGGACAGTTGCTGCAGCTCAAGGACAGGCTGTTTCCGTTTTCGAGAGGGCTGTGTCACGCGTACTGGGCGCCAAACATCTGGGCGATGTACTCCTTCGCTGATCGAGCATTGATTTCCCGTAAGTAGTCTCTACATTTCCCAGCGCACACGACATATGAGCTTATCTGATAATCTCTGCAGTTGCTCCACGGCTAGGGCTTCCCGTGGACGCTGGTGCTCTGAACAGCGTCACACGAGGACTGGTGGGAGACACCTCTTTCGCCGTTCTACCGGAGGTTACAAAAGAACTCACCTTTATATTGACCTTCTTGTTCCAACTAGTATGTGTCCCTCCACCTGTGCCTCTGGCCTTCTCTAACATTTGTCTAGATTCCTCTCGTCAAGGTCTGGTTCAACCCAGGCTGTTGGGATACCTTTGTCGGTGCGATCACCCTCTGCGGTTATGCGTCATTCCTCTTCGGTTGGCATGTTCATGAGAAAGCCATTCTCCTCATCATCATTCCATTCAGTCTCATCGCCCTCAAGGACCGTCGCTACTTCAGCGCCTTCCGACCTCTGGCGGTTGCGGGCCATGTCTCACTCTTCCCGCTGCTGTTTACAGCCGCCGAATTCCCCCTCAAGACTATTTATACAGTCCTGTGGTTGGTGCTGTTCCTCTTCGTCTTCGACCGAGTCGCACCCGTCCCCGAGCGGCCCCGAATTTTCATATTCGACCGGCTTTCGCTGCTTTACTTGACCATTTCTATCCCGTTGATTATCTATTGTTCCCTGGGGCACCAATTGATCTTTGGATGGGACCGATTCGAGTTCCTGCCGTTGATGTTCATGAGCAGTTATTGTGCCCTTGGAGTTGTCGGAAGCTGGGTTGGGTTTATGGTGGTTTATTTTACAGCCTAGGCCTATCAAACTAACTCAGATTAAAATATTTTCTCATTTTAACTCTCAAGGATGAACTACAAACTTCTTGAGGTCATTTGAGTTGACTTCGGGATTCACGATGTAGGTGTAGAATGTTTGCATTGTTTGTTTCCACGTGGATTAGACCCACGGATCATGGAGTCTATTCTCCCACTAATTCTCCCACTAGTCCCAATATGGTTAGTTCCCCTTCATCCATGGTTGGCCTGCAGCCAAATGCAGGTCAGATAGAAACATGGGGGAAGAATCTGTTTTTCATTCTAGGACTGTGTTGGAAATGTCTGTGTAGACATTTAGGTATTTTCTTATTTCTTTGATTTAAATGTTGGCCCATGTGATTGTCTGGTCGTAAAATTGCATGTTCGCGGCATATATATATTTCTACAAGTGATGCAAGTTTCCTTCCGATTATGCATTTTGTACAGTTGTTTCTACTTATAGGTGATTAATAAGTTTTTGACGGTATTCTATGGGGCAAAACCATAAGCAATCTAGTCTAAAAGCAATCAAGTAAAAGATACGAGTGGTGACTTCACACATCACATATAGTTAGCATGTTTGTTATTCACGTCTAGCTGCGCGATAACCAAACAATGATCACCAAACGTAAGATGACACATAAAAAAAAAAGAGGCTTATCAACTTCAGCAAATGTAGATGTAGAGTACCATTTATTCAACAATAGACATCTGGGTGGCCAATGCGCCTGTGACACCGTGGTTGAAGGTGTATCAAATCTACATGGCAATCATAGCTGGTTGCTTTAGAGTCACAAGGGTGATATATAGTTACAAATTGGTGTAGGAGATAGGATGTGCATACAAAGCTCTTTGATACTTACAGCTTCTCCTTTTTAGTAGAATACAGTTATTCTCAAAATAGGTCTTGTCATATTTCAAGTATGAGATATGATAACCCAGGCAGATGACTGTGTGAAGAACAAATAACACTTGAGCATTTAAAGCCAAAGAGAATGTTGTTGAAAGGTTGATGTTTCATGCTAAAAATACAAACAAAGCTGGTGGTTGACATGGTCCCGGTAGTTCAAATTGTTTGTTCCGATCTTAGCCCGGGAAGGTGACTGAGAATAGAAACCCAGAATTGATAATCGCATTGAAGAATAGAAATATCATTGAAAATTGAGGTGAATATAATATAGATAGAATGTACTTGACCAGACGAGTCGAATGAGGGTAAATACGGATAGTGTTGGGGAAAGAAAGGAAGAAAGAATTGATAGTCGGAGATGACGAGGGAGGAGGGAGAGTCGAGGGTCCCGAGGAAAGCCCAGCTGCGGTTTTTCTGCTGGGCTTTGGCTCCCGCTTGCTCCTCCTCTCCACCAATCAGCTTCCACCGCTGATTCGCGGTCCTGCAATGATCTACCGCTCCGTCCTTTTTGTCTACCTTTCTTCTTTCTTGCTTCCTACACCTTCAAATATTCACAGCTTCCCTCCCACTCCCGTGATATCAGAGTTCATCATCTCAGAAATCGCTTGGTTCTCAACTTCATTACAAGACGCGTTCTACTCCGGTAAGTCCGCATGAATTCCCGAGGCATCGCTATTCCACTGTTCGCGTGTTCTGGGTCTGCGACCAGGCCTAATCACGACAGTTTTCTCCCATCCATAACCGCCCCATTCTTCACACAATGGGCCACCCAGTGCAACTGGACCATCTTCAATCTATATCGCAACTCCCGTTACCTCCGCCCATTGCGTTGTCTGACGCGGCCTCTACCTTCCCGCACTCAATCGACTAAGCTTCACTCGCTAACTAAGATCGCGTTTTGTTTAGTCCCGTTCATGCTCGATTCTCGATTCTGTACACGGTAGCTCCCGGCCGACTGGCGCGTTCACATTTAATATTTAAAGCATCATGGTATGCAACACCTTATCCGATGGAATGGCTGCGGAGGTGCCAAGAAGAAAATGGTGGATGATATGAGGACAAAGAGGCTTACAAAAATTGAATGTACAGGTGTTATTCAAACGCAAACCAGTCCAATACCTCCCGCAAACTGTCATTGAAGATGATAGTTCCGAGGTATGTACGTCTATCACCCATACTGCAGACTTTCCCTCTTACCCTCTTTCTTCTTTCCAGGTCTGGGTTATCCCGGAGACCAATGAGGTCTTTACCAGTTATGAGCCTTACCTTCAGCGAATGGACTTCTACAAACAACGCCGATTCATCTGTGAGATCACGGGCCATTCGGGTTTGACCTTCTTCGAGGCGCTCCGCAGTGAGGTATATTATAACATGGACACCGAGTAATGGACATATGCTAAGCCTTGACTAGACGGAGGAATCACGCGAAGTCAACAACAGCTTCCCTGATGCGCTGAGAGAACCAATTCTGCGCAGAATTCAGTTCTCGATAGTTTCGAGGGTGGACAGCCTGGGTATGCTATTACTCTCTTTTCTAGTCCGAATTAAGCTAACCAATCTATTTCCCAGTGGACGAAATCTATGAAGTGAGATAATCCTATCATCTATTAACAACTGATCTAACAAACCTAGGAATTCAAATCAGACTTCTACCCGGGCGAAGCCGTTCTCATTTTGCTTGAGGATAGTAGTCGGCTTCATGGTACCATCAGAGACAAGGCGAACTTTGCAGAACAGCTATATGCCGATGGCACCATTAAGACACCTGCTTTTGCCAGGTATCTGGTCAAGATCCTAGATCGACAGAACGAAGAGGCCCTGCTGGACCAGGACCACATCACGCGCGATCGAAAGGCATTCACTAAATTGATGCTGCGCGGATTCATCAAAAACAACGTCACCAGAGAATCGTGGACAGGCGCGCCCTGGTTGGTCAAGCCATCTGTCGCGGAGACATACAAGATCCCAATTGAGGTACCTAAGCATCTGCAGTATGGTGCGAAGGTGGCAGAGAAGAAGGCGATGAAGAAAGCGGACCAAGATGGCTTCTTTGGTTTCTTTTCTTCTCAGCAGCTGCCCGAGTTGAAACCTGCGGTGAAAGGACAGAAGTCGAAATTGTCTGCACAGGACATGGCAAAATCGAGGGAGGCGCAGTACCAAGAGTATCAGCGGTCACTGAATGGTAACCCATCATTCCTTCTGCCTTCCAACCCCTTGCGCCCTTCCAAACCGCCACTGGTTGGCGATAGGAAGCTTGCTGGACCCCCGGCAGTGGTCGTCAAGAACGAGCCGAGAGCACCATCCCCGCCACCGATCAAGTATCCTATCGAAGATCTGGACCTTGCTCCTAATTCCGAAAAGAAACACCGACCGACCCTCAAGTTTATGATGGTAGGTGAGTCTGAAGATGACGGTACAGAGAACCTACTGCCTGATGATCTAGAGCCGGAAACGGTGGGGTTGCTCCTGGAGACTTGGGACACCCTCAATGTCTACTGTGAAGTATTCGAACTTGATTCCTTCACCTTTGACGATTTTATCGAAGCTATGCAGTTCTCATCAGATGAAGTGGATTGCGAGCTTTTCGTTGAAGTGCATTGCGCCGTTCTCAAAAAACTCGTCAACTCATCGAACGACGATGGTGCTGTTCAGATCTCACTCCCGGAATTCCCTGCTGATGATTCTGATGAATCTGAAGAAGAAGGCGAGGAAGAGGAAGAAGAAGCCGAGGAAGAGTCTCCAGAGCCGCAAGTGAAGCCCGGCAGAATGACCACTAGAGGAAGCCTGGCCAAGGAAGAGGCAGTCATCATCAAAGCACAGATCAATGAAGACGAACCCGAGGAGACACAGATTCACCGCGCTGGCGAGATGTTTGAGAAGTATGGGTGGATTGACCGTCTCCGCAAACGCGATTTCCACAACGGTGGATGGCAGTTGGTGATAGTTGGACTTTTGCACCAGCTATCTATCCGTCCTCGCTCGGAGCAAATCTGCAACACCATCCTCAAGCATCTGGCACCTCTCGACCGTGAACCTACTCAGTACACCGTGCAGGAGCAGTATCAAACACTCGACATCAATTTGCGTACCAAGGTGCTCCAGATGATTTGCATGTTGAGTTTGGAGACCAAGGCCATCCGAAACTACCTAGAAGAGTGCAGCAATCAGATGACAGAGTTGCGCAAGGAGAAGATTGAGTATCAGAAGGCGCGCAAAGCAGCGTAAGTCAATTCTTAACCATTTTCATCTCAGCCGCTAACATCATCGTTCAGACTCATCGAGCTTCGTCAGCTACACCAAGAGCGTAAGGCCGTTCAGCCTGAACCTGAAAAGGCTGGGAAGTCACCTACACCGGTGCCCGAGCTGGACGGCTTAGATGATTCTCGATTGCTGGAGGGAGACTCTGAAATGGTCGGGGACACTGAAGACGAGGATATCCCTCGACCACGCTCGTTACGTGGAGGGATCGATCGGGCTCTCGAGCGGAAACGGAAGCAAGAATTGGAAAAGGAGCGAAAGGAGCTATTGGCCAAGCAGCCTAAGGGGTCCAAGCAATACCAGCGAGTCTTGAAGAAGATCGACGAGCAGAAGGCCAATATCGAGAAGCTCCAGGAGCAGATCGAGACTGTGGAGAACAGCCTTCGCGAAACCGACTGCCCCAGGACCCGATGCCTTGGATTGGATCGCTTCTGCAATCGCTACTGGTGGTTTGAGCGTAATGCGATGCCCTACGAGGGTATGCCGGAAAGTTCAACGGCCGAGGCACACTACGCCAATGGCCGTCTGTGGGTGCAAGGCCCGGATGAAATGGAGCATGCTGGTTTCATCGACGTGACCGATGAACAGCGGAAGCAGTACCAGAAACATTTCCACACCACCCCCGCAGAGCGCAAGAAGCACGAAGAAGGGCCAACTCACGTGTCGAATGCTCGTGAATGGGGCTACTACGAGGACCCCGAGGCAATTGAACAGCTTGTGGAGTGGCTGGACTCGCGCGGCAACCGGGAGTCCAAGTTGCTTAAGGAGCTGCTTCTCCAGCAAGAGTACATTGCCAAGTACATGAAGAATCGCAAGGCGTACCTAGCCCAGACGCCTGGTAGAGCCGAATCGGAGGATATCCCAGCCAAACGTGTGACCACCCGGACCAAGACCTACCTGGATGTGAACGAGAGTGGCCCCCGCTGCCTGCGCTGGAAAAACACGACTGCGTTGTCTGAGAATGGGCATCTTCATGTTGACCCTAGCCGGCCGGCCAAGCGCAAGCGGGTTTCGGATGACACTAGAGTGACCAAGGTTGCCAAACAGGCTAAGCAGGCTAAGCCTTTGACCCGAACACGCTCTCAGCGCAAGGGTTGATACCCCCAGAAGGCATTAATCCTACCATATCACGCGACCACGATATTCTTTGTACTCCTCTACATTTCGAGCTGCATGGAGACTGGGGAGTTCATGTCTTTTTTCACTGGCATTTTTTTTGGGGGGAAAGAATTTAAATAGCTTAGAAGCAATACAACAACATAGAACAAGTCTCCTTAATAAAATGAATTCAGACTACGGAGTACAAGGGTAGGCTACGACGAAGGGCTACAGAATACATATCGGCTACAAGTCCTAATTAGGCTTAGTGTTAAGAGTACGATGACAAACCGGCTTCTCGGGACTCGGGACTCGCTGATTGTGCGGGCCGTATTAGTACCGTAATCCGCCGGTTATTCGCGGAGAGCTGTTCGTATCGGCATGTCAGAATGTTTGTAACGACAATCGTCCGAACTTCCAGATGTCGCAAATACGTCAGTGGAAACATCCACAGGAAGTTATTCTTCTTTCACTTTTCGCCATTGCACTGTCACATTCTTCTTTCGAACGTCCTTAAAGATCGCTGTGCTGTCTATATAATAAAATTATAAGATATCTGTATGCACAGTTGAAGCGTCCCGAAGATCGTCCGTCCGGTACCCCGAGAAATCTGGTTGGATATCGCCGAAACTGATCACGAGGGCGACTCCCCGGACATTCTCACCCCTCCTGCGAGCCTCGGTTGCTCTTTTGCAATCCCGTCTTTCTTTTCCTCTTCCTATTCCATGTCGACTGGTCATGCCTATGACCCCAACAAATCCCCAGACTCTACTCCACAGTCCGCTCCGATGAGCGAGACCGCACAGCCGGGCTCGTCGCCTGTCAGCGCCGCTACGAATCCAATTGTGTCAAATAACACAGCCGCCATGGACAAATCACAGAGCGGCAACAACAAGATCAAAAAGCGTAGCTGGGATTATGTGATGAGGAGTGGGATTGCCGGAGGGCTGGCGGGGTGTGCGGTAAGTCTCCACGGCTTACAGGTCCTTGCGAGATTCATACTGATTAATGCGTCGGACGTTATAGGCCAAGACCGTGGTCGCGCCCCTCGACCGCGTGAAGATCCTCTTCCAGGCTTCAAACCCTCAATTCGCCAAATACACAGGCAGCTGGACTGGCCTGGCAGCAGCGATTCGAGATATCAAGCGCACTGAGGGTTTCCAGGGCTTATATAAAGGCCACTCCGTGACCCTCCTTCGAATTTTCCCATATGCCGCCATAAAGTTCCTTGCATACGAGCAGATCCGTGCAGTTATCATTCCTTCCAGCGAATACGAGACCCCGTTCCGCCGCTTAGTCTCCGGTAGTTTAGCCGGTGTCACCTCTGTATGTTTCACATATCCATTAGAGCTGATGCGCGTGCGAATGGCGTTTGAAACCCGCCAATCGCACCGCTCAGGCTTGGTGGACATCTGGCGGCAAATCTACCACGAGCGTGTTCAACCCCCATCAACCCATTCTGCTGCGGCAGCTGAGTCTTCTTCCGTTGCTGTTGCCGAAAGCGCTTCATCTGCCGTTTCGAAAGTTGTCCCACGCACCGGAATTACCAATTTCTACCGCGGCTTCGCCCCTACTATCCTCGGCATGCTCCCGTACGCCGGAATGTCTTTCCTCACCCATGACACAGTGGGAGACTTGTTCCGTCACCCAAGTGTGGCACGCTACACCCTCAGACGAGTAACAGAGTTAGAAAACCCCGCGGATCGACCCAAACGACCGCAGCTCAATACCACGTCTGAACTTCTGTCCGGTGCTGTGGCCGGTCTAGTTTCGCAGACTTCGTCATACCCAGTTGAGGTCCTCCGTCGGCGGATGCAGGTCGGTGGTGCAGTCGGTGACGGACGCCGACTCGGAATCGCTGAAACGGCCCGCACAATCTGGTTTGAGAAAGGGTTTAGAGGTTTCTGGGTTGGCCTGACTATTGGATACGTCAAGGTCGTTCCTATGGTTGCAGTAAGCTTCTACGTTTATGAGCGAGCCAAAGGATCACTGGGCATTATTTAGACTTGTGACATATTCATTTTTTTCTTGCATATACCATGAGGACTTTTAATACTGGTTCTCTGTGGCGTTCGTGAATACCTTGGGAGGGTTGTTTTTAGCATATAGAGCCCGAATGGCTCAGAGATATACTAGTACAAAATTCTGGAGATTCTTTTTTTCGTTTTTCGTTTTTCGTTTTTCATTTTTCATTTTTCATTTGTCATTTGTCATTAAAATTCATTTTAAATCATTAAACTAGTTATAAGTTGGACTGTGTCATAAACAAACAACTCGACTTTGATATGTGGCTGATGTGTGGCTGATTCGTAGATCTAATTGGAACGGCCTGACTCCGAGGGCACAGACCACCCGCATAAAAAAAGTTGCAGACCTCCGCCACCCACCAAGTCAATCAACACTACTCGCATTCCCCAAAATGACGACTCGCAAACACAATGATTTCCTAGACATCGCGGCCAGTGACGATGAGGCCAGCGGCAGCGACCGAGGCTACGACTCCGAAGCCAATGCCGCGGAGAGCAAAGGACGGACCGTGAAGCGGCGACGGACGACAACCACGCAAGATTTCTCGCAGGAGTCTGACGAAGATGAGCATGAAGAGGACAAAGATCTCGAAAAAGAAGACGAAGACGAAGATAACGAGAGTGAAGACGGCGGCGCAAGTCTAGAAGACTCAACAAAACCCAGCACCAAATCAGCGAAGTCGCTCAAAGCAAAGGGCAAGCTTGCTAAGTTGTCTAAACTGGCCAACGGCAAAGCACCCAAGAAAACTCGTTCAGGTGTCATATACTTTTCTTCTCTCCCGCCATACCTCAAACCCTTCGCGTTGAAAGCAATGCTAGAGAAGAGAGGGTTCGGAGGTATCACGAAGGTCTTCCTAGCACCTCTTCTCCCATCAGCAGCGGGCCATCGCAGCCGCTCGAATAAGAGAAAGCTCTACACCGAAGGGTGGATCGAGTTCGAGTCCAAAAAGACCGCGAAGATCTGCGCGGAGACCTTGAATGCGACTATTGTTGGTGGATTGAAGTCGAGCTGTGAGTCTACCGGCATTTTCGCCATTACATAACTCCCTGTCATTTTGCGATGAATATATACTGACCAGTGCTACGATATATAGGGTATCACGATGACGTATGGAACATCAAATATCTCTCGCGGTACTCCTGGGAGGATCTTATGCAATCCGTACAACGGGAGAGATCTGAGAGGGAAAGCAAGAGGAAGATTGCCGATGCTCGTGAAGCCAAGGAAGCTAAGATGTTCATTGCGGGTGTTGAGAGTGGTCGCATTGCTGATGGTATGGCGAAGAAGAATGAGGAGAAGATGAAGAGGCGGTTGGAGGCGGCTGGTGAGGGGGATAAGGAACTGCCGCAGCCCAAGGAGGCGAAGTCTACAAGACGGAGATTCCATTTCCAGCAGAATGAGGTTGTTAAGGGGTCGAAGGATGGTGCTATGGCTGATGATGCGAAGCGGGTACTTGGGAAGATCTTCTAAGTTAGGATTTTATGGGGAATGTTTCTTCTTGTTTTTATTCAATAAGGCTTTTATGGCCTCTGGTCTGTTTACTTGATCTACTACAGCCCGGCTTTCTAATATTAGATCACCGAGATGTAACATCCTGAGGTTGATTGAGTACATCTGGTTAAACCTCGGCATCCTCTTCACACTATCGTACATGTAATATTTACAAAACCATGGCCACAAAAGGCCGAAGGTGACTCTTGGAAATTTGTTTCTCGACACATCCGACTCGATTCTATGCTGTCAATCTCGTGGTTCTTATCAACCCCACCAATATACTCTAGAAACTTACATTCAACTACATCTGCAACACCTCAACTCGCCTTTACAACCCTAACTAGCTTTGTGCTCTGATTCGGATTCTTTTTATCTGAAGCAATTGATCCATTCCGTGCTAGAATAAGGCCTAGAATAAGAATTTAACATCTACATGCTGACATTGCATGTAACTATCAATTTTTGGATTGAAAACCTAGAAACACAAACGCCAACCAGTGCCATGATCATCAATGGGGAGTAAAATTGGGATAAGAACTCGTGAAATAGACGTGGACATCCAGGTCCGTCGACATATTGATGAGTATAATCAGGAATCAGAACGCAAGACTGGTATGGATTGAAGATGGATCGTTTTCTGATGACTCAGTTGTTTGTAGTGTTTGCACCCGTTATCTTGACATCACGGGCACCGAACTGTTGGAACAACTCAAAGATCCTCATTTCTTTTTCCAGCATAACCATCACCATGAGCAGGGCTCTTTTGCGAGGGGCTGCGTGCCAGACTTGTCGGCATGAGGTGCTTCGTTCCTTTGTTTCTGTCTCGGCCATTCCAATGCCACGATCCTCTCCTCTTTCCTCCCGTTCGATCTCCGACGCTAGAGCTTTCTCCGCTGTAACTTTGCTGCGGTCTGATCGCCCTCCAACTTTGAATCAGCTTGACTCTCATCTGTCTGAACCAGAAGGGCCATCGGCGCCCTCGGAAATCCATACAACAACCTCATCACAGCATGTCCCCTGGTATTTGCAGGAAGAGGCGCCGATCATCAAGGAGCGCCCGTTGACCGAAGCCCATCTTCCCCAGATCCCAGACGATTCGCCAGAGATGCTCTCGTCTCTACTGGAGTACACATATAAGGACTTAGGCTTGGATGGTCTCAAACTCTTTGACTTACGCGGCCTCGAAATACCTGCAGCTCTCGGTGCTAATGTCATCATGATCATCGGAACTGCCCGCAGTGTGAAGCATTTGAACGTGTCTGCGGATCGTCTCTGTCGCTGGCTGAGAAGTCAATACAAATTGTCCCCCTACGCCGACGGCTTACTTGGGCGCAACGAGTTGAAAATCAAACTCCGCCGTAAGGCTAAGCGAGCGCGCGCCGCCAGTGCAGCAGGCGCAATGGTCGACGAAAAGGATGATGGAATCACCACAGGATGGATTTGTGTAAATGCGGGTATGGTGGATAAAGGGGCTACTACGACCCAGCTGAGCGATGTTGGGATTGAAGGATTTGGTAACCTTGACCTTGGGACTAGTGTGGTTGTCCAGATCTTCACTGAGGAGAAGCGGGCTGATGTTGACCTTGATGGCCTCTGGGAGGCTACTTTAGCCCGTGAAGGGCGCAAGAACATTCGGGAGAGCGCAGGAGATATATCCAAGACCAGTGTTGCACCCCCAGGTCTATGTCCGATGGATTTGGTTCTATTCCTGGCCAAAGGAGAGGCTTTCATACCGTGCGCAGACTCGCACTATCTGCCATGGGCTCCACTGAGTCTGGTATAGAAGCTGGTTTCCCTGGCATGGGAACTTCATCTTCCACACTTCCAGGCGGCGCAGCAGCAGTTGCATCCCAATTGACACCGACATCCTTGCTTCAGATTCTCGCTGAACTTCCGGCTGATAGTGCCCGAAATGAGCTTGGAAGCGGCCCAAATGATCGCCAGTCCACTCTTTTTCTACGGCTCTTCTATACCAACCACGCCGCGCGGTTTTCTGCACAGGAAAAAGCCACCTTTCGATTGAAATTGTTTTCTATTGCTGTGTCTCGGCAACACCCAGCCTACACCAAGGATGCCCTTTTTAGCACATTCTCTAATTTTCTACGCGACGGGTATGACCTTCCGGATGACCTTGGATTCGATGTTGTTTCCGCGCTTCTAACGCCGAGAACAGCGGGTGTTATCACCGAGAAGTCTGATACTCATGCTCCAGAGGCTAGCATGGAGCTCGCTTTGTTAGTGCTGGATCGTTTGAGCCTCCGTGGTGTGCCGATTTTGAACATGAAAATATTCAATATACTCTATCAAGCAGTCTGTGCACCCAATCCAGCACCTTCGAGCTTGAACGAATTGCACCCGGAAGAGAGTTCGTCAAGTTCGTCTGTGGTTCAACAGACCGAATCCCGAAAACAAATCTTGTCTCGACTGTCGAAGATACTCGCAGCTGCCAACGTTCCATTTGACGCAATAGATGCGCGTCAGCTTATGGTGACATTATTCCAATGCGGGGATTACGACGGTTTCTGGCGATTATGGCGCCAGTTTCCCTTGAAAGGTGCTAACCGTACACAAGAAGACTACGTGCAGCTGTTCAAGTTGCATGCCGAATTGGGCGAGGAAGTGCGAGCACGCGAGTGTCTGTCGGTGGGAGTGGCATTGATGAATCGAGAGTCCCCCGCCATTGTGCTGCAGGGTCCGATCGTGACAGCCATCATGCATTGTATTTTGGTGGCAGATCCGACACTCCAGAACCGAGATGAAGGAGCATCTCCGAGCTTCTACCTGCCACTCTGGACTGAGTGCCAGGAAGCACTTGCTCGGGAAAATTGAATGATGAGGGATCAATTTGTAAATTAATCTAACATATATTATCCAGTGTACAATATCACATCCGTATCTAATGTTAAATATCGAGGTTGTAATTAAATATTCGATGAATGTACTCTGTAGGACATGGATGGATCTCCTGCCCGGAGCGACGTAGTCAGCTCGGATAAGTTGGGCCTCGGCATATGATCACTCTGGTTCCGGCGACTTCTTCCTCTCCATCTCTCTTCAAACACCTTCAAACACCACCCGGATAAGGATGACTGACACTCCTGACGATGGAGTACCTTCCTAGTCTTCAACAGGAGTTCGACGAGCACAAGCCATCGCTCTTCGGTAAGTCGATTGATGCTTCCCCGCGTAGATGGAGACCCCAGACACGGGGAACCCACCATCCGTGACTGGAATCGCTAACGCGGAGATTGTGCTCGATAACAGAACTCCTCGCTGAGCAACAGCTCTCCGATCTTCTTCCTCCATCTTTGCGTTATCTTCTCGCAGTTGCAACACACCGCCACCCGCGCTACCTCCTCCGGATCCTCAACTCATACGACGAAGTCTACGCCCTCATTTCATTAATAGTCGAACGTTATTACCTGCGAACATTCGGCGGCTCCTTCACAGAAAACTTCTATTCCCTGAAACGTGAGCGCCTTCTCCGCACTAAGAATGGCGAGATCCCGCGCGCCCAGGTCGGCGCCGCAGGCCCCGTGCGCGACGCCCTGAAGCTACACTCAACGGACATATGGAAGAACTTGTTCGTCATGGTTGGCATCCCTTACCTAAAACGCAAGCTAGACGAAGGATACGACATTCATGCCGCGCCACATGCATCGCTGGTCACCAGCGGCGCCCTACGATATAACCCCAGCGACGACCTGCCGGCCAACCCGTCGCTGCGCCAGCGCATCTTCTTCTACTACAAGTGGTTCCTGCGCAATGTCTACCCATCTGTGAATGCGGCATACTATTTCTCCGTTCTGGCATTTAATCTCGCCTACCTCTTCGACAACACAAAGTACTCCTCCCCGTTCCTATGGCTTATCGGCACGCGCATCCGCCGCCTTGGCAGCGCAGACCACCGCGCCATCGCCGCAGTGCTAGATCCCAAGCCCGGCCCCAGCACCGGGGGATCTCAGCGGCCCGGCGGAGGCCTGCTTGGTCTCCTTAGTCCGCAGAACCTTCATACCCAGCTCCTGACCTCGCTGCGCTACTTCCTTCCTGCGTCGATCTTCGCCCTCAAGTTCCTAGAATGGTGGCATGCAAGTGACTTTTCTCGTCAGCTCGCCCGTAAAGCAACTGAGATCCTAGAACTGCCGGCCCCCGTTGTGGCAGGCTTAGTATCTCCCGCAGAACGACGGAAATCGTCACTCCAAGACGAGAAAGAAAAGGCCAAGAAGCAGGCCGAGCAGGATAAAAAGAGTGCTGCCGGTGATCTTAAACCAGCACTCAAACCCCCTCGTCGCCACCAACCTCCCATCTCCGCGACATCTTACCTCCCCATCTACACGGTGTCTTTGCCTCCGGCTGATCCCTCGAGCGCCAACACCTGCCCTGTCTGCATGGGTGGGCTCGTTAACCCCACTGCTTGCCAGACCGGGTACGTGTTCTGTTATGTGTGCATCTTCCACTGGCTGAACGGTGAGCACCAACGCCAACTGGATTTCATGACCGGCGAGGGCGCTGGCGCACCGTGGGAAGAGGAGATCATAGGCGATGATGAAGAGACAAAGAAAAGTCCTAGTGGGGATGACGCCGAACCAGGCCTCCGCAAACGATCTGGTAAATGGGAAAGTGGCAAGGGAAGGTGTCCTGTCACAGGGAGGAGAGTGCTTGGGGGCACTGAGGGATTGAGGAGGGTCTTGGTTTGATCCGGGGGTTGCGTAGGCCCAATTTTCGATATATTAATCGTTAAACGCATATTGTACAGCAGATTTCTTTGGGTTGGAGTCTGAAGGTAAAAATCATTGCTCGAACTGTATATACAATACAACATATCCTATCTCCCGTCCTCTTACTCTACGTACTGGATTTCTGCTAAGCGCCTTATTACCGTCTTTCTCATCACCAAGGTTTCATCTCTGATTCTTATTTGATACAGTATTCTTGGAATCAAGCGATACATTTCATAGTTTTAGCCTCCGTAATCATATATGTGATCTAACCCTCACAACCCGAATGGGCCCCAGGTTCGTCCCCTTTCCGAGGTTTCTTCATGACCAAACCAAGAATCCTCATCTAGACATCTAAGCATCCATAGGGAGTGTCCTTAGTCGAAATATGCCCTGGAAGATTCGCGCTCTCGATTTTAGCAGCGTGTCGTGCCTTTATTCCGCGACCTCGTGTAAATAGCTTCCAGGTGCCATCGAGATGTAGATGAATTGCGCACACAGAAATACCAGACTTCGTTAACAGAGACACTGATATAACTTCTTGCGTGTCGTCCTTATCCGTCGAGGACCGATGGGCATTGGCACCCCTAGAACGAGAACATTAGAATATTAGAATAGAAGTATTGGGATTAGATGTTTCAAGTTCCAACATATATGATGTTTGCAAAGACGATCTTTCGATCCTAAAAGGGGTGGTATAAGAAGATGCATAGTTCCTCGAAGGTTGATTGGTCAACTTACAACTTTCTTGATTGAATTGCAGACTGCTTCTATTGTGTCGCGCCATTGCTGGCCGTTGCCGTTTTTGGTGACAACATCGTCGAGGGGAGAGCCAATGAATTGGATGAATCGTCTCTTGGTAGGTTGGTAGTTCTTCATGGATTTGCGGTTCATGGTGGAAATTAGGGATATGTTCAAGTGATGAGTGCAACTGAGGGATTCAACACATAAATATGAATATGCTGGAGGGAGACAATACAAGTTATATCCATAGTCCGACACCATTTTGAGTAATGATACAGTTGGGGCATGTACGTAGTTATGTAGTTATTAAATTTGGAAGGTTAGAACCACCTTATATATGATTCCCAAGATTCTACAGTAAGGATTATCAACACAGTTATATAGAGGAATGAAACAAATAAGAATCAATCTGATATAACAAGTCGTACTGTCGTACTGTCGTAGGCTCGTAGCCCTAAAAAGGCGTTGATGACCAATTGGCCGCTATTTACCGCGACGTCATGTGTGGGGAACGTTCTTTGAACTCCAAAACATCGCCTTTGACCTGAAATCATTTAAACATGCAGCCTTTCCACAGTTTGAGTTGATTTAAACCTCTTCAGCTATGGAGAGCTTTGATGATGTTTCTCTCATCGGAATAGTCTCCCAGGATACACCTTTCCACGATGACCATCTCCCGATTCCATGCCCTCCAGACCCGAATTCGGTGAAAGAAACCACAGCCGGACCAACTTCGACCCAAACTACGAGCAACGGATTGCCTTCGCAGGCAGATCGCACCGATGATGCTGGAATAACTGATGCCGCCCCCGTCGTATCGGATTTCCCGTTGTCGTACAACCCACCGTCTGGAGCTCGGATTGAGGAGGAAGAGGAAGGGGATGGGGAAGATGAGGAGCCACAGGTGGCAACTTCCTTTGAGCGAGAGGCTTCGCCGACTTTTGCGCAGAAGCACCGATCAGCTTCAGACTCGGAGGACGAAGGCATCAACCGTATGCACAAATTTACGCTATACGAAACCGCAACTCGATTCTATATGGTCGGAATCAATCTAGCGGAGACTCGTTTTCGGATTCTGAAAATCGATCGGACCTCGGATTCCGGTGAGTTGAGTATTACCGAGGATGACATGGTATACAATAAAAGAGAGATGGTTCAGCTGCTGGATGCAATCGATGACGGCAACAGGAGTTCTGGCGGGTTGAAGCAGAAGTGTAGTGCATGGGCATTGCTTGGATTCATCCGATTCACGGGCGGATACTATATGCTACTTGTTACCAAGAGGAGCCAGGTTGCTATGCTGGGTGGTCACAATGTCTATCAGATCGATGAAACCGAACTCATCCCGTTAACCACCTCGGAACCTTCACATCCCAAGGCCGAGAAGCAGTCGGAGGAAGCACGCTATATTTCGATCTTCAATAATCTGGACTTGTCGCGCTCTTTCTATTTTAGCTATTCCTACGACATCACTCGCACGCTCCAGCATAATATCTGCCGGGATCGCGAGGCCCACTGGGATGGCCGCCCACAACCGTCTTCACATGATTACCATTCCATGTTTATTTGGAACCATCATCTCCTGTCCCCGGCTGCGGAGACTCTTAAGAATCCCTTTGAGTGGTGTTTACCTATTATTCATGGATATGTGGATCAGTCAAAGATGAGCGTCTATGGACGAGTGGTCTATATCACAATCATCGCACGTCGATCCCGATTCTTTGCTGGGGCTCGCTTTCTCAAACGAGGCGCAAATGACCTGGGATACGTCGCCAACGATGTGGAGACTGAACAGATTGTATGTGAACAGACGACAACATCATTCCATTCTGCTGGCCCAAGACTTCATGCAAACCCTCAATATACTTCATATGTTCAACATCGTGGAAGCATTCCTCTTCATTGGACTCAAGAAAACACGGGAGTATCACCAAAACCGGATATTGAGCTTAATCTTGTGGATCCATTTTACTCGGCTGCGGCGTTGCATTTCGACGATCTATTTCAAAGATATGGCGCTCCAGTCTATGTTCTGAACCTGGTCAAATCTCGCGAACGAACTCCGAGAGAGTCAATACTTCTCAAAGAGTTCACAAACGCTGTGACTTATTTGAACCAGTTTCTTCCCGAGGACAAAAAGCTCATTTACGAGGCGTGGGATATGAGCCGTGCTGCAAAAAGTCGGGATCAAGATGTCATTGAGATGTTAGAGGATATTGCTGGCAATATCATTCCCAAAATTGGCTTTTTTAAGAATGGGGATGACGCAGAATCCGGCTTGCAGCTTCAGAACGGTGTCGCAAGGACCAACTGCATTGATTGCCTTGACCGAACAAATGCTGCACAGTTTGTCATCGGCAAGAGGGCGCTTGGTTATCAGCTCCACGCTCTTGGTGTCATAGATGACACAAATTTAGAGTATGATACTGACGCTGTCAATCTCTTCACAAACATGTGGCATGATCATGGAGACACTATCGCTATTCAGTATGGCGGATCGCATCTGGTGAACACCATGGCTACCTACCGCAAGATCAATCAATGGAGTAGTCACTCTCGTGATATGGTGGAAAGCTTCAAGAGGTATTACAACAACTCTTTCCTTGATGCTCAGCGCCAAGAGGCATATAACCTCTTTCTTGGAAACTACACCTTCGCGCAGGGCATTCCGATGCTTTGGGATCTTCCTACGGATCATTATCTCCATCACACTGATCCCAAAACCCACCTTCACAGAAAGAAACCCAGCTACATCTCCTGGTACACACCCGAATATCTAAAGGCCAGGGAATTCCCACCCCTCCCATTCCATCCCAAAGAACCCCTCTCGCATTTCGATGACTTCTGGCTGGAATACTACCGACCACTTGCCCTGTCTTCCCTCTCTAAAGTTTTCTCCTTGAAAATGAACTCCACGTCCCGCTATCTACCCCCTGTCCGCCCAGGACACCCCGTCCCAGATCTCAGTCCTTTCGTGCCCCGCATCCCCCCAGAGCAAATCCAACGCGAGCGCGTACCACAGCGCAGTGTTAAGATTCAAGAACCATCCACCAGCCGCAGTCGCGCCTCATCAAGCACGGTGCCGATACCTGAATCTGCACAAACATGGGCCCACCAACCACCCTCATCCGAGAAACAGCCCCCTCTTACGGGTATCATCAAAGAGCCCGCATTCAAAATCCCTCATGTATCCCGCATCCCACCAATCGACCCCCGTAACGCCTCCACCCCTAGCAAAACGGAGATCGCCCAGTGGACCCTCGGCCAGCTAGTCAGCGACTCGCTAAGCCCCTCTGTCACCGGTGCCGAGGCAGAAGAATACGAGCGGTACATCAATCATCCCCTCAAGGTCCCGCTTGTTGTCACATCTGAAGATGAAATGACAGCTTCGTCGCTGCAAGACCACGGCTACAATCTGGATCTGCTGGAGTACGCGAATAAGTGCAATGTCGAGGAATCTGCGCTGGAGGCGGGGGCTGGGGTAAACATGCTTGCTTACGCTGAGTTTCTGGATGTCTCCGAGGACGGTCTTACTGTCGTGAGTGAGGACTATGAGAAGAAGAGATATAAACGGTACCGCCAATGGTTGCGCGGGAAGAGTCTTTTCAAGCAGCGAGTTGATCCATGATGCTACGAACTTGAGTACCTGTTTTCCTTTTCTGTTTTGGCGCTCAGTACAGCAAATAGATACCCTCATTGCATGTTGTATTATTTTATCGAGTGTTCTATGGATCATATCTATTTATTACCAGCCAGATCTCAAGCGCAAGTTTTAATTTGAACCCAACAGATATCTTCAATTGAGATTGTCATAATTGTTATAATTCTTTTCCTAAATAACCTCCCAGAAATCCAAAGCCATTGACGCTCAAACAAAAAGCCCCTTAAGCTCTACATCCGCATCAACAAGCTCCTGGAACTCCTTCTCCACATTTTCCTTCACCTGCACCTGCTCCGGCTCTGGGCCATCAGCCGCAATAGCAACAGGATTCAACAAAACAAGCTTCAAAACCTGAAGCGTCTGCTGCAACTCGCGCTTCAGCTTAGCCAGCTCAGCCACGGAGCCTCCACTATCCTCGGAAATATGAAGCCAGCACGAACTCAGCCCACTCAGGATCTCCCCGCGCCAGCGCCAGATACGCGGGTGTGCGTTCTTGATCACCGCCTGCGTAGCTGCAGCTGCAGCTAGCAGTAGTGGAGGGTGTGCTGTTCCGAATGGGTTTGATAGTGTTGTGTAGAGGACTGGGATGAGTTCTTGGAGGTACTTTGTAGTGTGGATGCCCAGCTCGTTGGTGATGATTGTTATCTTTTCTAGGAGGAAGGTTGAGAGACGGGAATGTGGGAACGATGCAGTTGAGCCAGAGGCTGGAGTGCTGGAGCTGACGTGGTGGAATGAGGAGATGAGGTTTGATCGGAGGATCTTGGCGAGACTGGTAGTGTGTGCTTCTTTGTCCTTTTCGGACTGGGTTGGGCCTTTGTAGGCGGTTTTGAGGGTGGAGAGGAGGGCTGGGTATGCTGCTCCTAGTATTTCTAGGGATCTGTCCTCGGGTGTGATGGACGGTAGGGATAGAAGACACGGCGTGACGGCATCTTCAAAGACGGAGGTGAGGTTTGTTCGTCGGAGAATGTCCGAGCCGCTTTTTTGGATCGGTTGCAGTAGCTGCGTGAGTAGAGCACAACCTTTTGTTTTGAATGGGAGGTTGTTGTCGTCGATCATTGCTAGGATGGTGGGCACGAATAGCTGAAAGTGCGTTTCAAATTGGGTCTTGTCTTCAGGTTGGTATTGTGAGAGGATCCATGATAGTACAGCTCCGACGTAGATATCGGTTGTTTTCCACGGCTTTGTCGATGCGTCTAGATCACTTGCACCGAAGCGAGGTAGAGTCTGAGGATGGAAGTTTTTGCGGCCAGCACTGGTGATGGCGGGATTCTTTGTCTTTGCAAAAGAGGTCTAATCCTCTCCTTGAGGATGAAATCGATAGCGGGCCAGAATTTATCGCCGCGACGGGTGTCTTGAACCCATACGCTCATGAGCATCGACGCTGCATTATAGCTCTCTGATGTGGCCCATGGGTTTTGCTTGTTGGCAAAACATGCCCCCGCGAGAAGAATGTCCGCTGCATTTCCTAGTCTGCCATTTGGTGGTAGTCCTACCAGGGGCTTGTTTAAAACTAGAATCAGCTCCAGAGCAAGCTCAGATCTGAACCGACTCTCGTTCTGGGCTTTGATAATATCTGTGTGGCACAATTAGTTAAAAGCTTCATTATGTTGGTACAAAGGCCCTTACCGTCCGAAATCTCGACAGTCTCATCAAAATCAGCTGCAAAATCCGATGAAGGCAAAGCAGCAGCACTGGCCCACTCGAATAAGTTGTGTACTGCTTTTGCTTCGGCTGGTTTCAAGGGTCGCGGGCCTCTGTCATTTGGCAGCATTCCATCCCAGTAGTCGATATAACAGGTGGCTGTAACCAGGCTCTCGCAGATCTGGAAGATTAGTCTATTTTGTCTTATATTCAAATTGATAGAAACATACATTCAAATGTGTCGAATGATCGTAAGCAGCAACGTCTTGCCATAATTGATGCAAATCACTTTTGGACGCAGCTGCAACGGCGGGGAAGAAATCGATTGGCATTTCGCCAGGATTCTGCATGAGAGCCTCACGGGCTTCTTTGCGCAGTTTATCCATTTTGGCTGAAAAATATTTACAATTAAAAATGAAAGAGAAGAAGTTTGTAAACATTCGGAGTTCAAGTTGAAGTTGTCCAAGGTTTTTTCTTTTTTCATTTGTCATCGGGGAGATCTTCAGCTGGACGTCACTTCAATTCTGCTCGTCGACCCGCGATCTCCTCCAGCGCCTTTTCCTTGTCGATGCTATCAGGATGAAGAAGTTGCCATTCCAGGGCCATGTTGACTGCTTTGGACATCCAGGGTCCCTTTTTAGCTCCCAGACTTTTCATAATTTCGTCGCCGTTTACAATGGGCTTGAGCTCACAAACACCCTCCAGATCCTTTTCTACAATATACGCAAGGAACTGATCGTATTCATGGGCCACTATACATCGTGAGTATTGTGAGGTTATCAGTTATTATCAAGGGGTGGTGGATCTTACCTTCTGCAAAATCACGAAGCGCCATGTTTTCTTGTAGGAGAGCCAGGAGAATGCAAAGCTTCCAGTCCTTATTCCACGACCGCATTTGCAACCCAATGCGCTGTCGGATTTCTGCCGGTGTTCCACTCATCTGGTTCGCGAGAAGAGCAGTTTTGGTCGCAATTGTTTCCTTGTAATGCAGAGCAGCAGCGCGGAGTGCATTGAGTGTCTTGTTGTCACTGCGAAGGCTGTCCCTGCCAACCTCAACCGCTCGCGGGGGCAAGGGCTTGGATCCTTTCCCGGTACGGCCGGGGATGGAAGTCCAGGGGGCAAAGGTTGCAATCATCCAGGCGTAGTATATGGTAGTTTCGTCGCGGAACAGGATTTCACGAATGCGCTTCGTAACTGCCTGAAGTTCTTCGCTGTCACCGGCCTCTGGGTGAAGCAATCGTGCCAAAGTATTGTAGGCAAGGGGCCATGTCGATGTATCGGCCTTGACCTCATCCTGATGATTAGCGAAGATAGTGGGAAATAGTTGGAGTCGATCGATGAACTGCAATGCACCGCGAGGGTCGGGGCCTAAGATGTGAGATACGACTTGTCAGAAATGTAAAGCATCGGGCAAGAGCAAGGGCAAGTGCAATCACTCACCACGCAACATCTTTTCTAGCTCCGCTCCCACTCGCTCTTTGCTGATTTTGAGTTTCAATGCCTCGCGGATATCTTCAATCTGCATGGCGGTTTCGGTTTCGGGCTCAATTTGGTATCCCAGTCTGCTCGCAAAGCGGATCAATCGAAGCACACGCAGTGGGTCGTCTTTGAAGGTTTGGTATGGTTCCATTGGACATCGAATAATATTTGCCTTCATGTCGTCGAGTCCTCTCTCTGTGAGATCCTCCAGCCGTGACTCATTAAGGTTGTAAAAAAGCGCATTGATAGTTGCATCGCGTCGCAGAGCATCTTCGACAGCGGTGCCGAACTCCATCTGAGGATTTCGACTGTCATCCGTGTAGGTTTCCTTGCGCAGATTGACCAAATCAATATCCAGGCCGAAGATCTTGGTTGTAACGGTCTCAAGGTGTTTTGACTTTTCAGGGTTGGCTTCGATTTTGTGAAGGCTCACAATGGCGTCGTGCATTTCCCCATTTGGGCCAGTCTTGTATTTTTCAAGGTTCTCTGGAATATCCAGGTAGTCTTTCAGAGCCATACCAAACTGGTATCCCGTCATGTTGCTGATGCCCACATCGATATCATGGCTCTCGACTCCGAGCAGCTTGTCTCTGACCCACCCACCTGTGAAACGCAAGACAGTCTCGGTGTGATTCTTCGCTGCACTGCCTCCCTCCGCGAGTTTCTGCTCGGTGATGTATTGTGCGACATCGAGGAGTAGGGCTCGTAGGGTGCTCTCAAGCGGAGTGAGCTCAATGGTAGGCATGGCGGGGCTCATGGTTGCATATGAGCCTGCCCGCGTCGGGGAAGAAATGCGTCGCCTCTTCCTGACTCGTTCTGAGAGGTCCGGGTCCGATTCGGGGTTGCGCATAGAAGTGCGACAAGGTATAGATGCAGAGAAGGTTCGGAGGGGTAGTTGTTGTTGCAACGGGTGTATTTGACCAGCTCTTCTCGCTAGAGTGCGGGCAAGTGGAGCTCTAACTGAAGGGAGACCAGAAGCCTTAAATAGACACACGAAAGGGCGCGACAGCATTGAACATAGTCAGATCAGATGCTCTGAGCAAGTGAGTCAGTTTGATTGTCGATAAGCATGGCCCTCACGTGGTTTGCATCCACCACTTGGAGATCGACAATCAGCTTCTCCCTAAGTACTCTGTATTGCATTTACAATTGCACAAGACGATCTTCAACTTCCATAAAAGGCTTTAGTGCCCAACCTGTTCGCAGGTTCCGTCACTCGATTTTGTTGTTGCTCGTGTCAGTGCTTATCGGCCCGAATCTGTCGACTTGGCTTTCTCCCCCAACAACACCTCCGTGAAGCCGCATCCCACTCGCTCTATTACACCTCGTGCGACCTCATCTACCAGTCGATGGGGCCTATCGATCAACTACACTCGCTTTAAATCTGCACAAAGCAGCAGGTGTCCGCCCATGACATCGCCCGGAGATGCTGCTCCGGTCAAACCTCCGCCGTCCTTCTCCCCCGGCGTTGCGCGAGTCGCATCCACATCACCATCACGATACCCTGGGGAGCATGAAACAACGCAATCTTTAGATGCCGAACTGGCAGAATCCCAGTCAGTCTCATCGCCGACGCCTCTTTCAGGCACGATCGCCGATCTACCAATAAGAACTGGCTCGTCGCACTCGCGCTCTGGGAGGTCTTCTACTCCACAGTTAGCAAGGTCATCAATCGGTTCGCCTTTTGATGGAAGATCTGATGGCTCGGAAGATATAAGATCATCAATTATCCGGTCATTCTCACCTACGATCGCAGTCCATGCCTCCGAGGATACCGACGACTTGGTGAGGAACAAGGGGTTCAAGGGGGATTTTGGGAGTTGATCCGGCCATTTGGAGAAACGGTTTCCGGGAAGGTGGTAATCCGGGACAGCATAGGCTCGAGTCGTGCCTGGGAGGACTATGGAGTGCGCCTTACTGATTTCAAAGCGATCGGCAGGGCTCCGGCTAACCGAGACTCCGGGCCCCTGGCCCAGATGGAAGAAGTGTTGACCAAGCAGTTAGACTGTTCAGATGGCCTGCTTGGTGCATCGGTACGCACAAAGGATGTTTTGGGGTTCCCTGCAACAACTCCAATATGCAAGTCGTTTTTGCAACAACTGCTGTGTTCGGCACCTACAGCGCCCCACGAGACATTTGGCCACCCGGTAGCCAATGTAATAGCCATCAGCTCGCGCAACGCAGCTCCGTTGGAGACATTGAGGCAGCTATATGCTGATGGTACCACTGGGGACAAACAGCTACCCGACTGGGTTAACCAGGAGTATCTTCGGTATTATGTTTTAGTTCATGACGAAGAACGAGACAATATCACGGAATCTATCAAGCTTTATGATCAGATGAAGCGACACTTTGGGCTACACTGTCATCTTCTAAGACTTCGGAGCAGCCAGTGTGTGGTGACGGACGATGATAGCATGCAAGTTCCCCAGTGCGAATGGCTCTCGCCATCAGAGCATCTGTCGGGAGCAGGTGAAGCAGGCAAGTTTTCGCCGTTACATACTCAGCCATAAGCTAACTTTCCGCTAGAAGCCTTGGTTGACCTCGGTACTGATGGTACACCGTATCTCTTTGGCTCCGATGCTACTGCGATTAAGGCCTTCATTCGAGAACTCGTGGTGCAATCCGTTATTCCATTTATGGAAAATAAAGTAGCTGTCTGGAATGATCAGGTTGCATCTCGGAGGCGTGGTATAAGCGGCAGATTTATGTCAATGTCTCGGCGGTGGGCTGGTTTCGGTTCAAGTTCGCGTTCAAGTATTGGAGGCTCTGCGGGTGGCAACAGCGGGAACTACGATCCAACACGACATTCTTATAGTCCAGACACCCCGGAGGCTGTCTTGCGCAAGATGGCCGACTACGCGTTTATGCTCCGCGATTGGAAGCTAGCTGCGTCCACATATGACATGATTCGATCGGACTATGGCAATGACAAAGCCTGGAAATATCATGCCGGGGCCCACGAAATGTGCGCTGTTAGCATGCTTCTAAATCCATTGGCCACGTCAGCCAAAATCAAGCTTGAGAGCGTTGACCAAATGTTCGAGACTGCTTGCTACTCCTATCTCACACGTTGTTCAGATGCGACACATGCACTGCGATGTTTATCCCTAGCGGTTGAACTTCTCAAGTCTCGTGGCGGATCAGCCACAGAGAGTGCAGCCAAATGGGCCATGCGGGTCATGGACTTTGGTCTTGTGGGTTCAGTGGGCCAGATCCTATATACTGAAAGGGTATCAGCTTGCTATGCCTCAAAGACACCAGTTGGAGCAGCGAAATGGGGTAGTCGTCGCCGAAAAGCCGGCATGTGGAGCACCCTTGCTGCTGATCAATGGCTCAAAGCTGGCCAACCAACTCTAGCTTCAGCCTGTCTGGAAGAAGCCGAGCGTCTCTATGCCGACGTGCTGCAGACTGACGGGGTGTTCCCCATGCCTGAGATGCAGAGCTTCGTTGACAATCTGCGTCATGCTGTTAGGGTTGAATATCTTGAAGCGAGGGGATTCGATGCCCGAGATCAACCGGCTAGCGAGGATCCCTTGGGCACTGAAGAGACTAGTGAGAAGCTCGACATGCGTCATCATCGCCGGTCTTTGGTTGGGCCTCCTGTGCAGCTGGATGCCGGAGCTCTCAACACGACGCAGGGGCCTCTGAACCCTGAGAGTCCACCCAATGATGACTTTGAACGAGCTTAGACTGAATATGGCCTTAATACCTCATCATAGCATACATATAACCATAGATACAAGCCTGTTCAAACATAAGTCCCTTGTGTAATGTATACTTTCTTCTCCCTTCCAGCTGCCCTGAGGTGTCTAGTGACCAAATCTCGGTGACTCTCGGATGCCCTAGAGTCCGAAGTCTTCTAATAACCAACCAGACATTCCAAGTCTGTAACTCAGCGCTTACTACAACAATCAGCCATCCATGGATCTGGTAAGTCGCCACAAACCTGGTGGAGTATAGATCTATCTGGTGTGCGCGAATCTCTAGGAATACAAATAAAGCTGCCATTGTCGTTTGCTCGTATATGCAAGTGAAATTAGAGAATCTATATACTCAGTATGGCGTAAAGTGATCAACATCACAGTACATTTAAGCATTCGAACGCGTCACGTGGGGCTTATCGATAAAGCTGTAGACGACCTCGGGAGGCCGCAGTGGATGCGCAGATGACCCCATCTTGCTTTGTCTGCGAGGTCCACTCTCAAAAACACAACTTGATCTATTATTTGCTCAGAGAGAGGCCTACCATTTCTCCCCAGCGCACCACCCCTGCATTATGAGCGAACTACTGAAATATATCCTCACTCACGAGGAAGCATTCCGAAGGTAAAGAAAGAACCAAGTCTGAAAGAGAAGCCATAAAACCTACTGAAACAGAGGAAGAATATCATGCTTACCCTCAATTTCATTCCCAGAAACCGTCTACCCTCCCTCTACTCCGACTTCACACCCCAGAAGAAGACAAACCCCGACGGCTACGCTGTTAATGTCGCAGCATGGGAACAAGCCCTCAACCGAGCTGCAAAGCGCGGCTATACCTCCTCACGTGGCGTGCGGGTACGTTCCGGCTCGACCGTATCAGCTAAGAACGGAATCACACCCGTGAAGCGAAAGAAGACAGACCACCTTATTCTGCGAACGGATGAGTCGCTGCTCCGGGATTTAGAGAGTCCGGAGTGGGGGAGACCCGTAGCTCTGGGTACTGTATTTGTGGGTCTACTATCTTCCTTTTGGTAGCGGACCTGTTAAACTAACCAAAGGGTGTTATAGGATGAGGCAGTGCGCAATAATTCGATGATCCCATTGCCTGTTTACAAGACCACTGCTGGGCTTTTACAAAAGAAAAGTCAGTGGAAGCTGATTGATCCCGGGGTTCTGAGTCCTTGGAATGTTATGAGCTGGGGCGCTCGGCAGCTCAAAGGCTTTGTTGTAGGTTCTGAGAGCGATTCGGCACCGAAGCTGCAGGTGCAAGAGTTGGTCTTGATAGAGAACCTACAGGAAGCAGCAGACCTAGCAGTTAAGAACGCCACAGGTGGCAACTCATCCAAGCTTGATCTTATTTACTCCAGGGAAAGCTTTCTTGAAGAGTTCGCAGCGATACTAAACGATGCCACGGAATTATCAGATGCAGATTTCGATGTCTTGCTGCTTTATTTATCCCGCGATAGCGGTGCTATTGCATATGACGGCAAGGTAAGTTGGACTATATAAATAAGGCCAGACTACCCAGATATTGACTGATTGATGGCTAGACAATCAAGTTCAAATCGGCAGATGAATCGCCCGAGATCACCAAACAGGACACGACCATTGCATCCATCAAGACATTGGTGTCGACTATGTCGAAACAGGTCACAAGCCTGGAAGCAAAGATCGCCGAGCTGACTGTGTCTGCAAAGACAGCCTTGTCCAACAAGAACCGCATTTCGGCGCTGTCTGCTGTGCGTTCCAAGAAGATGGCTGAACACAACCTCCAGCAGAGGTTTAACACCCTCATGCAGCTCGAGGAGGTTTATTCAAAGATCGAGCAAGCTGCTGGCCAGGTGGACATGGTGCAGGTCATGCAGGCAAGTACTGGGGTGCTTCGCGGTCTGCATACTCAGATCGGCGGTGCCGAGAGGGTTGAGGACATCGTGGAAGAATTGCGGGAGGAAATGACTAAGGTGGATGAGGTCGGAAGCATCATGAACGAGGCCGGCCCGGTCATTGACGAGGGAGAGATCGACGATGAGCTTGCGGCGATGGAGAAGAGCGACAGAGAGGCGAGAGAGAAGGAGGAGGCAACAGTCACCAGGAACAGGCTTGCCGAACTGGACAGTGTCAAGAAAGCCTCTGATGAGGCCTCCCGCCGTGCACGTACAGCCGAAGATGCGGACTCGGCTCTGGCAGATAACATCATTGACAGGCTCTCTAATATGTCAGTTGAGGACCGCCCGATGCAAGCAAACTGAGACCCTTCAAATTATGGGAGAGGTATTTGTCATATGTGAAAGAACAATTTGCTCTTCTGGGTGCTTCCCAATTCGAGTTTAATATGGCTTGTTCTGAAATCACCCCGATAGATCAATGACATGATTGGCATCGGTATCTGGGCTGAACTCAACGCCCGCAGCATTCACCAGTAATCCGCCACTCTGCTGGGGTTGTGGTTCCTTCTGCCCAGACGAAGACGAAGGTTCTCCAGGAATATTCGATCGTGCTTGGACCTCGCTCTTTTTACGCGCATTCGCGATCAAACGCTTGAAATCATCATCGTGGTTGTTTGACCACTCATTGGCATCGAAGTCTTTGCGCATCACATTATTGGAAGTGGTGAATGGTGACGGCGCTGCCGCATGCCCACCCTGTGTGCGTTCCCAAATGTCCAGTTCCTGGAGCAATATCCGCTTAGACTTGGGATTTTTGGAATCACAATTTGCATTCCATAAGTTCATCCACTCCGTGTGACGTCTCTGCAACAGCTGCTTTTGCCCCCAGTCCGGGATTCCGAGATCCCGGAGCTTCTTCCGCAATGCATTATCCTTTAATATAGAGTAGTTTATAGCCGGAAGCCGCTCGGGCTGTTTGGTGGAGAGGGTGAGGCCTCTTTGGGATATGGCTTTCAATGACCTGTAATTATCGTCCAGTTAGCACCGTGTTCAAGACCCATGAAATAGAATTAACATACCCGAAAGATGCTGGATTTGTAGGGGGTTTCTTAGGTGCTTCTTCTTCCTGCTGGTGTACGTTCAGGTGGGGAAACACTGCCTCTTCCTTCATCTTGCGAAAGCATATTGGGCAAGAGACTAACCCATCTTCTGTGAGGCGATTAGACGGGTCTGGTATCCGCGTGAGAAAAGTGTCATACCAGGCATGTATTCTTCATCGTCCTGACTATCCTCAATGACTTCGGGTATAGTCTGAGGAACAGTTCGGTCGTCTGTCGAGCTATTTGTAGATCTTTGAGAGCGAGTCCGTCGGCCTTGCGAACTTGTTTCTGGGACCTGTGGCTCCTCTTCTACCTGATTGACCTTGCGCCTCTTACGGGCCGGCTTCTCTATGCTGTCTTCTCCACTGGGAACGCGCGCATTTTCCCTCCTCGCAAGATCGAGTACACCTGGTCGTGCCAATCTAAACGCGTCGACGAGTTCCTGCACTGCCCAATTGCGGCGTAGTTTGAGCTCTTGGTCAGAGCTTCGACACGCCGGGCACTTGCCTTCTGTGCTCAGGCAACGGCGAATACACAGCGAGCAGAATGTATGGCTGCAGGAAGTAATAACGGGGTTATCGAAGAAGTCTTTGCAGACTTGACATCGTAATGAGGATTCGAACGGCGCGAGTAGTGAAAGTGGCGTTTCCAACCAATCGGTGGAGTCGGCGAGCTCGAACGACTGAGCCATTTAATCAATACCTAATCCCTGAGCTCGAGAGCTCTTTTCTGTAGAAAATCCAACCGGACTCGTCCGGCGATAGCTAACGAAAGAGGAGAATGTGAGTGGAGAGCCGCCTGAGGCCTGAGCAAGAGACCGCAAATGCCAAGACCCGCTGACTGATACGCGTTAAGTGGTTGAGCACGCGTCGGAGTAACTTGCACTTCAACAGCAACCATGGACTCGAAGTTGTATTTGGCTGAGAATGTTCTCAATGAGCAGCGCCCTGTATGATTTTCTCATGCCCTCCAGACCAGCAAGAGCTTACCAGATTTAGGTCACATACCGCTTATTGAGCCGCGCGCTCAAAGTGCACGCCAACCGGGCCAAACAGTATGTTTTGCACTCGCAGCAGCAGAAATCGGATGTGGAATTGACACAGACACTCCATTGGATAGGATTCTCTTCGAATTCCACCGAAATGAGAACGCAAAGAAGCCACAAACCGTTCACGCAACCTACGTCATCTCCGGCATCCAGAAAGCGCCCGAACCGGCCCCTACGAACGGCCATGCGGACGATGAAGATGAGATGATGCAGAGTAGCCCCTACTTGCCCAGCTCAATGCCGAACGAAGATGCAGCCTCGGACTCGATTCGCGCTATCTCCATCGTGTTAGCACGCGAGGAAGACCTGGAAGGTACGCAGATTCGTGGATCTCGGTGATGGACCTTACTGAATGAGTCGAGCAGATGCGAAATCAACCTTCCAGTCGATATCTACAATCCATGTCTACAGCCTCCAGCCTAGAGCTCTACCTGATTTGAATGTGTTGGTCGATGCCAATCGGGAGATTGCGAGCACACATGGGCGGGAGGACCCATTGGAGTGTGGGAACCAATGGGGTATGATACAAAACCGGAACGTCAAGGTAGGTTATTCATTACTTCCGCAGGTCTATCTTGATTTAATGTTTATATCTCTCAGCGGAGGACTGGCGTGCGCCCACCCCCACCTGCAGCTCCAGCTGTGAAACCGCCCGTTGCCAAGCCATCGAAGCCTTCGACTGAGTCGACGGTGCCCGCTAAACGGCCGTTGCAAAATGAAACATCCTCAGTGAAGATGGAAGCCACCAAGCCCGATGAACCGAAGTCTGAGCCATCCTCTGCTGCCAACTCCCAGGCATCCTCGAAGCCTTCAAGTAGAGTAACGGCACCCAAGCAAAAAGGCAATCTTTTCAGCTCTTTCGCCAAGGCGAAGCCGAAGACAAAGGCATCAGCTCCAGCAGAACCGGTTCGTGCAATTACCCTTGCAGCATTTATTATTGGTCTTGTTTCACTAACCTTGACTATAGGCCGCACCGAGTGCAGAAGATGGTTAGTTAACTCCAGCGGAAATTTCATACTTAGCTAACGTGTCTTAGTCGTGCTTGATGATGCATCTGAAGAAGAGGCAGAAGAATTGTTCCCGGATAGCACCGCCAAAGCAGCAGCAGAAAACCGCGAAAACAGGAAAGAACGCGAGGAACGGCTCAAGAAGATGATGGACGATGATGATGACGAGGCTGACGGTATGCCCTGGCCTTCAAACACCAACCTGAAAAGAACCAACTGACATAGCTTCAGACGAAGAAATGCCCGATGTCGACGAGGAGCCACGGGAGCCCACGCCTGTTGAGCAACCGCCACCACCCCAGCCAGCTGAACTTAAAGAGGAAGTGACTGTGCAAGGTGGGCGGCGGCGAGGCAAGCGGCAAGTCATGAAGAAGAAGACTGTCAAGGACGAAGAAGGATACTTAGGTCTGTGCATCCTGCTGAGCTCCCTTCGTTTAACGAGGTATACTAATTTCTTACAGTTACCCGAGAAGAGGCGACGTGGGAATCTTTCTCCGAGGATGAGCCGGTGCCTAAGAAGAAGCCCGCAGTTAATGTTCCTAAGGCGAAGGCTGGCAAAGCTGCAGGGCAGGGTAATATCATGTCTTTCTTTGGGAAGAAGTGATATAGTATTATTGAGGTGTCCAAAGACTTTCTAAAACCATAGATATCTAATAGTTAGTTATCAGAACATACAAGTATGTCAAGTATATCATCCCAAAAAGGAAATTCCGTGATGTCGATCTTCTCCGCACTTTTTGCGGGGAAGAGTGTCATCGTGCCTGGGCCGATGTCACCTCAATTTCACCGTATACTTTATATTTCCCCCGAGGAAACCACCTTAAGGTTAATATATACGGATGTGTAGCTCATAATGTACTGGTGAAAAGTCACGGAGATATCATATGCGTGCCGTGGAATGTATCCCTGTCCGGTTGGGATCGACATACATCCCCTCTTATTTACCCCGGCCTTCTTCTCTGTAGCAGTGCAAGTCTGTTCCTCGCCGTCTTCCTACCTGACATCCCCGTCATGACTCTTCCTGCTGTACTTGCAGTCGCTCTGCTGGGCCTTCAGGCCGGCGCCCTCCCAGATAGAGACGACCCAGCCATCTTGCGACGCGCCTGCCCAGACTACACCTCCTATGCATCAACACCGCAGTGAGTGTCTACAATTCCATAGAGATGTACCGAATATCTGCTAAATGAGGATTTAATGTCACAGTGCTCCCTATAGTGGTGGTCCCTTGAATCTTCCCTTTCAGCGCCCCGCAGAACCATGTCGGACATTCTCATCGCCCGCCGTGGAGAAGGTAATTGAAGATATCACCTCGCGTCTAGTCGACAAAGATATGGCTCAGCTATTCCGAAATGCATTTCCGAACACTCTAGACACTACAATTCGGTGGCATACGAATGGATCGACATCATCCGGCACCAATGCTAGGCGGGACGGCGCGCAATGGACCGGCGTGCAGACCTTCGTTGTGACAGGCGATATCAACGCCGAGTGGCTGCGTGACTCAACAAATCAGCTCACAAATTATCAGAAACTGGCTGCCAAGGACAAGAGTCTCTACTCGCTGATCCTGGGTGCTATTAACACCCAGTCCGAGTTCGTCATTCAGTCGCCCTATTGCAATGCTTTCCAGCCACCGGCTCTCAGCGGTATCAAACCGGAAACTAGCACCCAAAAGGATACTGTGCACCCTGCCTATGACGAGTCTTTCGTATTCGAATGCAAGTATGAACTTGACTCTCTGGCCCATTTCCTACAGCTAGGCAATGAGTTCCATGAGAACACTGGTTCGACTGAGTTCCTGACCGATCGGTGGTATAAAGCGTTGCAAACTGTGCTGAGCACCATTGACGCGGAGTCTAAGTCCACCTTCAATACTCAGGGCCAGTTCGTCCGAAATCAATACACGTTCCAGCGAGAGACTACCATTGGCACTGAGACCCTCAACCTAGCTGGTGTGGGCAACCCGCTAAATAGCGAGACCGGCCTAATTCGTAGCGCGTTTCGGCCTAGTGATGATGCTACAATCCTAGGCTTCTTCATCCCACCCAACGCTATGATGTCCGTACAGCTCCAAAAGACAGCGAAAGTCATCAAGACCGCCGGTGGGCCTGCAGCTCTTGTTGCAGACCTGCAGGAACGTGGTACCAAGCTAGCCAAGGCAGTTCGGGATCACGGCATTGTCCAACATTCCAAATATGGAGATGTCTACGCCTTCGAAGTTGATGGGTATGGGTCACGTATTCTGATGGACGATGCCAACATCCCATCGCTGCTTTCATTGCCCTACCTTGGCTTTGTGGACAAATCAGACCCCGTATACCAAAATACACGCAAAATGATCACCGACAAGGCCTCCAACCCGTACTACCTGGTGGGTCCTCAGTTCCACGGTATCGGTGGTCCACATATCGGTCTTGAGAACGCCTGGCCCATGTCTCTACTTGTTCAAGCTATGACATCCGACGACGATGCTGAGATCATTGGAAACCTCAACCTTGTTCGTAACTCTAGCTTGCTTGGGCTTGTCCATGAATCTATCAATGTTACCAACATCAAGGACTACACCCGTCCTTGGTTCTCTTGGGCGAATTCGGTCTTCGCACAGACTGTTCTTAAGATTGCAGCTGAGAGGCCTCATTTGATCTTTGGTATCAATGCAAAGCCTTATACTGTCTAATAGGGCTGACAGAATGTCTGCTTGTGGCTTGGGCTTATTTGGGGTTTCTTGAAATACCCGTGGACCTTGATCCTATCCTTATATCCTTATATCACTATTCATTGCATGAATCCTGGAATATGGCAGTTTTCTTTTTTTGATTCCTTAGCATTTTCAAGGTGGACGCTCTTTTTCAACAGTCTTGTCAACAGTAGATTTAATGACCAGTCTGGCTTAGAATAAGTAGTTCCACGATGAGACCCTCGTTGGTGGGATAGGGGATGTTCGGATCTGATCGGATCCTCATCTGGACCCTGCTCTGAGACATGCTTAAGCCACATCCCACATGGGCACCAACATGTCAAGTGGTCTCGTCTCCTGCGTGCATCATAAAAAGCATATATACTTCATCGGACACTATAAGGGCAAGCATAAGAATGTATAACATCAGCAGCTGATATAACATTTCTAGTGCGAGTTAATTCAGGAATAATTACTCTATTATCAACTTCTAACATTCTAACTTGACCTTGTTCTAAACACTTTCTGGTACTATATATGAATCGAATTCTCGATATATATAGTATATGATATAACACTAAGTAGAAAATGAACTAGTTAAGTAGAAAGTAAAGTGAGTAGAAAGTGAACTGAGTGTTATAACCTGCCCTAGACTGGTGAGTTATATACTTAGCCAAAAGACTATTATATCTGAGTATTACGCTTAGATAGACTAAGTTCCGATATATATAAGTGTATAATATAACACTAAGTAGAAAGTGAACTGAGTAGAAAGTGAACTGGGTGTTATAACCTGCCCTAAACTAGTGAGTTATATAATAGGCTAAAAGACCATTATATTTGAGCATTACTCTTAGATAAGACTAGATTCCGATATGTATAGTATATGACATGACACTGACTAGAAAATGAACTAAGTAGAAAGTGAACTAAGTAAAGAGTTAATTGATTTCAGATTC